ATTTCTGGGTAAATAGTCATTCTTTAAAGCACATTGATAGCCTTGAAGGATAAGAGTACGATTTTAACACAAAAAAAGGTATATTTACTCCAGTTAGTCATGGTGTATATCACTTTACACTGTTGGTGCCTCAGGTCTGAGGGGGAGAAAAGAGAATTTATAAACAGATTATGAGAACAGAGTTGTCTGAAACTACTGTCTTAAGATGGGTTCCTTGTGACTGTACAAGATGATGGGGGAAGTCCTTACTTAGAGGGACTTTTTAAAACTTCAAAAAGCTTCACCAGATAGCTTTGCAGTGACCTTCAAAAGCTTTGTTCTAGATTTCTTAGGCACGATAAAATATATATTTTAAAAAAAAAAAAACACCCAAAACCACATACACAACCAAAAGCTGAACTAAAATTAAAATTATCTTCAACATACCACCTTCTATATACCAACCATAATTTGTGAGTCCCCCCCCTCTGGAGGTGCACCACAGGAATAATGAGCTTTGGCAATGGAATTACATTAGCCAAATGAGTTGGAACAGACAAAAGACAGGTGGTGTCAGTACTGGGTTTACTTAGAAACAAACAAAAACCCCAAACAGACAGATAACTGTTGCGTTTCATGACCAGGCAGAAAAGTGGCTGTAAGTCATGTTTGAAACTTCCTAATAACTCTTAATTTCAGCAGTGCTCTTTGACTACCAGCAGTTGTGACTGTGGTTTTGATTGCACTGTTTTCTCCAGTGAATGAAGGTAACTACTGCTACATTAAAGGAATTTCTGGGGATAAGAAGTTGCGTGAAGTTAATGAAGAACTAGAATTCTGTAATAGCAAGTTGAATTGCTGCCTGACAGTATTTTGTACTTTAATATTGGTGAACTCAAAAATACACTATTTTATTGGGGAACAGCGTTTAAACTGCTGTACCAGAAGATGAACAACTTCTGTCATGTTATGACCTTAACTTATATTTCAGTCTTCCACATATTATCAGCAGAATGGGAAAATCAGAGCAAGTGGACGTTAACATCTTCTGTTTAGTGGCCATAGACTTCTACCGACATCAGATAGATGAAGAACTAGACCGGAGGGCCTTTCAGTCGGTGTTTGAGGTGGTAGCATCTCCAGGAACCCCATATCATCGCTTACTAAACTGTTTGCAAAATGTCCACAAAGTCACAGCATGTTGAACATCGTGATGTGTAATGGAACTGCATGACTAGTGTTGGAACCTGATAGGAATTACAGGGAATGCGAGATCAAGAGAGTATCTGGGGTTGCGTTTGTGATTAAATATGGACATGTCAGTTTTACTTCCAGTAAATGTATGGACAAGTGCTCTGCAGCACTGGAAATCACCTGAAAAGTCTAGTTTAGTTCTTGTTGTTGTTGACACCAGGCGCCTGTGAGTGGAAAGAAATATGTCAATGTTTTTAAGTGGTGTTTGGGACTAACCTGAGACACTAACTGTAAAATAGGAGCAAGTACTACACACGAGGTAACTTACTACTCTTCTTAATGCTCAGTTGAAGCTGCTGTGATACAGCCAGTAAGAAACTGACAGGAAACAAAAATGGTTTTGCCAGCTGCAGTCATTAGAAAACTTCATAGTTTTATGTACTTGTATATACTGTTGTGTAGTACAGAACATAAATTGTTTCCTGATGTCTCTCCCAAACAAGGAAAAGAGAAAAAGGCTTTCATGATGTACACTTCAAGCATGTAATTCCTCTCTCTGGACTTTCTGCTATCCCGTGGTGTATGTGTTGGTGATTAATACCAGAGATATAGTGCACATACGTAACCACATGTTTTTCTTTTTTCTTCTCAGGATTTAAAATTTGAGTGCAGTATATCAGTAAAAGAAATTTTAACTTAAATATTTCTATATCTTGTACAGTATGTAAAATTGTAAGATGTGTGGTGCATGAGCTGTGCTGTACTTTGAACATGAAGCCACGCTACTGAATGTCTTGACATCTGTATTGTCCTCACTTTTTTTTCCTTATGCTTGAATTCATGTTTCTTTTGAAATCCATCTTAATGTATGGATTGCATCTTGTTTTGCATCTCACTTTTTCTTAAAGTGCTTTAAAACTGGAATATGATGATTAATTTGTCTTGAGAGACTGTACTAAGGAGGCATTCTTGTGATCCACTTTACTGTAGCTTCTTCTAAAATCCTTTATTTTGAGACATAATGGTAAAAGAGAGGACAAGTTACTCTGGATCAGCGTTTTGTATACATAAAAAACCTGCTCTTACTTGCTGCACAACGTTTTGAGACAAAATGGTGCAAGCTCCCCAGTAGTCAATAACCATTTGACCTTTCCTAACCGAGACCCATGGAGTCATCTGGATTCAAACTACTCTGATGTAAACAAATTTCTGCTAGCAGGTAAGAATCAGAAGGCTGCTGTGGTCTACTTTGGGACTGGCTAAGGTGTTAGATTACACAACCTCTTTTATTACTTGTATACATGATGCTTTGGACACAAACATATTAATTCAAATATCCATGAATATCAGGTCAGTACTCAAGGCCAGATTTAGCTTTTACTTGCCACCCAGGGAACCCCATTGATTCCTAAACATTACATGGGGGAATCTAGCACAGCATTTGTCTTTAGCTGAATTTGTTATAGTTTTTTAATTACAGAGAAATGATACCTTGGTTCTCGGTCACATCCTATATTTAACCTCTCCATTTTCTTATCACACCTTTTGGTGACACTTAGAAAAATGAGATAGTGTTGTCAGGAGGAGCATGTACTGTATGTATTTCTGTATATAATGTATATGTTGAAATTATACACGTGACAACATTTAATGTATACAGATGTGTATATTTGTATTTATTAAACCCATGTATTTAAACTAATTCCAATCTAGACCAAAAATTGTTGCTTCTGCCCATAAATTGATTACAAAGGAACTGTTCAGTGGTGTCACTTCCTTTTAGAAACCGATAGAAGAAAAGGATAGTATGGGCAGTAGAAACAACTGTAGATGTTGCTGTATTTAGCTCTCTACAGATCTTATATCTAGAGCAATTATTTCTGCCGTTAGTTGGGTTGCTTGTCTTTCTTGGGCCACAGCACTGTGGTGATTTTTAAAAAACTGAACAGGAGTTCAGAAAAAGGTTTCATAAAATAGATACTGTTTGCAATTTTTTGAGTTACATTGGAAATTATCTTAATTCTGCTAAGAGACTATTTCAAGGCAGTGAGATATAATGCCCTGTGTTTTCATTAAGGGTAGTATATAGAACACTCTTCCCTTTTGTAACCAACAATAATCTTTTTGTACTGTAAACTCACACACCAGTTAGTTTTTGTATGAGATATAGTTTAAGTGAAGATATTTTTGTAAACTATTTTCCAAATTTTAAAATAGATTTTAATATATTTTTTAAGCATTAGGTTTGTCATATTCTTGCCATATAACAGTATATGTTGTGTTACAAACCGTTAAATTCTTCATCATTAAGCTCCTCATGATTAACACAGAATAGCTGGTTACTTTACCTTGAGATAATGGGAGCTAGACCCTTTATGAAACTTTCCAGACTAATTTGAGACTTGCCATAGAACATTTCCAACCAGTGAAGGAATACATTGAACTAAGCAGTTAGTGAGGCTGATGAAAAACTTCAGATGTGACAGACCCACTTTCCTCAAATATCTGTTGCCAGCCTTCAAGCGAATATTTGCGTTGCCGATTTCCAGTCAAGCTTTGGAGCTGATGCGATCAGTCCTCACCTCACCCAGATTCACTGGCAGTGATGAACTCCATTTGGTTTAACCTCTCTTGGAGATTTGTCATAGTATACCTCCTGAAGCATGTTCTAAGTGTCTGAAGAAGGGCATCTCCCCTTAGGAAATTCTCAGTGACCTGAAGGGCATGTAACTTAAGGGTCTTCCTAGTGTGGAAACACACAGCAGTAGTGCTTCAAATCTAGTATTTCACTTGCAGCATACTTTCCTGACTACTTCCTAGTCATGCTTTTCCCCACTTTCACTACTTTGAAGTGAAATCATACTTTAAATCATTCCTGCCTGCTTCTAGTGACAAGAGCCAAGAGGTATGTGATGGGGACAGTAACAGCAAAACAGTGGCCTCTGAGACATACCAATGTTGGATTGGCAAAATTTTATTTCACAGAATGTTTTTAACTTCCTGTAGACAGTTAATTCTGAAAATTAGGCTGTTCATTTTTTCATTGAGAATGGGATAGAATTTGTTTGGGCTCAAGGCTCAACATTTGGTGTCCTTGCTAACCAAAGCAAATGGTTTCTAATGTGCTTTGCAGTGGAACTGGCTTCTTGACAACCTTACAAGACTAGAGGTATTGTGTGATTGGGAGCATACCTAAGACAGATTAATGTTTAAAACTTCATTTACAATTCAGTTGTCAAAGAACCTACTTGGCTAAATCTATAATGTGACCTCCTTTAAGAACACGGTATGCTAGCCAACTTTTTATAAATAGGTTTTGGGCCAGCTACCCACTGACCCATTAAATAACGTTTGATTGCATTTCATTTCAGTATGGCCTCTCCCTTACACTGAGTGCAAGAGTGAGGATTTGGGGGCTATAACCCATTGTAAACCAGTTCTTATTTGCAGGATTCAAAGTATTTTCTTTACTATTTATGCTCTTTGCCAGTTGAAAAATGAATGTGAGTTTATTTAAATCTTCTGTAAAGTGTGCACTCGGATGTCATTTCTTGCCTGAAGCATCTAGTAAATGATTGTGTATTACTTCTGCTTCGGTAGGAATGCCTTCTCAGCACCAAGGCATTGCTTGTTTCTCAACCACCAGCAGCATTCCTAAAGCACTGAGTAATGAATGAGCAGATTTAGATCAAAGTGGGGAACAAGTGGAACCTTTTGGCTTTAAAGTAATTTGTTGATATTTAGTAGACTTGCCTTAAGAGCATCCTGTGTTGCCATTCTTCTTTTCAAATGGCTGCTAACTTTATATAGCAAATAAGAAGGTTGTGTCAAAAACACTTCAAAGACAGTTCTCCAAGGGCAGACCTGGCTTGTCTTAAGATTTTGTTGAGCTGTCATGGCTAAGCATTTACACTTCCTAAATAAAAGAAATTTTAGGGTATAATAAGCAATAAATATAGCAATAAGCAGTTTAATTAAATTTGGTCATTCAGGATCTTATCTGGTGGTTGAAAGGGATGGGGTGGGAGAAAAAAGGGGAACTGATTCAAGTACATGAATTGCGTAAAGCAGACTTCCTCCATGTACAATCCCAACTGAACTTTCTACTAAGGGTAGAAATCAGATAAGTGACAATGGCAGGTGCTTTGCTCTTAAAACAACTTTGATTACAAGAATACAACTGATAAAAATGATAGGAGAGCAAAGTACTTCAATAGTTTTTAGGTAGTGTAATTATTTTAAAGTAAAAGCAAGCTGCTGTAAGAACTAGAGTAAGCAATGTAGCAAATTTTTGGGGAAGTCCAGTATGCTAATTTTACCTAATACTGAGATTTCAGGTGTACTCTTTGTGCATGTTACCTTAAAGTCTCCATTGAAACCCTTCAGAATCCCACAGACATAGCCAGGAGAGCTTCTATTGTACGTCAGGTTTTAGCTGTATTCAAGTTAACTGGGTATAAATGCTGCAGAGCATTTGTGAAGCATGTGCTACTTTTTGTCCTGTACATTTTGTGTGAGCTCATCATTCCCATCAGTCTGTCTGTGCATACCCTTGAGCTGGATCAACCTGAAGAAGGGTAAGGTAACACACCCTCTGGTGTTGTATTGTACAGTTTGAGGGCAATGATGAGCAAAAGCTTGGAGCCCCAACCCCAAAACCAATTGTACTCAAAGGAAAAGGAAAGCATATAATTTTTAGATGTGTGTTTAAGTTGCAAATAAAGAAATTGCTGAAAAATTGAAACAAAATTGAAACATTGAAACTAAAAGAGAAAATAAAATATAACTTCCTGTAAGTGATTTTTCTCTGGTTATTTAAAAAAAAAGTCTTGATGCATTACTTTTTCTTCCCCAGTATCCTCTTCTTTTCAACTATATTATCAAATAAGGAGTATTTTAAAATATGCAAGACTACTTGAACTCTCTGCAAATCACAATTACAGTGCTGTTTGTAATTAACAAAGAAGCATCACAGTTGAGCTTTTAATTTTATCTAATAGTTATGCTTGCCAAAAGTTCTCTGGGATTCTAGATGAGATCAGAAAAGGCAAAATTTAAGTGTACAGCTGTATTTGTCGATGAGGGTGTGTATTTATCTGCAGCAGTCCTGGGGGGTGGATAATGTTACACAGGAGAAGAAATGGTTTGGCTTGCCTCAGCTTGGTGTCCCAG